TGCCATAGAAGGGGTGTTGGAGGATGCAAAGAAAAGGACAAGTGGAGAAAGTGGGAAAGGGAGGTAAGAGGAAGCCAAAGGGGGAGTTGAGAATCCCAGGAGAGAAGGACTGGACCCCTCTGGGGCTTGTGAGGGCCGTGATGGGGCATTGACCATGGAGACTCAGACATCTGTGGAGTAGGAGCTATGGGACCAGGCCCCATCACCTCCCCAGGTGCAGGGCAGGGGTTGGGCTGAATGGGGAATAGCCCCGGGGAGCAGCCTCACGGTCTCAGAGTCCTGTCCCTGCTTTCCAGCCTGGACTCATCCCGGCCAGTGTCACCCCAATTTTTCCTCTGCCAACCTTGTCCTTTCCCTCCAAAGGGCCGGTTCCCACCCCTCCTCCCCAGCCCTGGGCTCCTGAGTTCCCAGGGCTTGCATGGGCTGCAGTTGTGTCCCCTTAGCCCTATTTTCTGTGAATGGAGCTCCCTAGGGCTGCGACCCTGACCCAAGGCCTGGATCTGTCTGCGTTTCAGAGTCTCACACTCTCCAGTTCATGTACGGCTGCGAACTTCATGAAGATGGCAGCACTGGAGGCTACAGGCAGTTTGGTTCTGATGGGGAAGATTTCATCAGCTATGACTTGGGAACGCACACCTGGATAGCAGTCCCCGCACAGGCCCAGATCACCCAGCACAGGTGGAATGAGGATAAGATCCTTTTTCAGATTGCAAGAGCCTACCTGGAAGAGAGCTGCATCGAGTGGCTGCAGAAGTACCTGCAGCACGGGAAGGCAGCACTGCTTAGCAGTGAGTCCCAGTGTCACCATCTCCCTGTGTCTGGGGTGGTGAGTGCTGCATCTCAGTCCTGCCCTGGTTGAGACCCCAGCACTGCTGTGGGACATTGTACCCCATCCCTGCCCTGCCCTGCCCTGTCCTGCCCTGGTTGGAGCCCACAGTGTGTCGGTGCCCCAGACATGTGTCTGAGGAGCTGAGATTAACTTTGTTGGACCCTGTCCCTACAGCCCCAAGTCCAACGCAGCTGTGTTTTGTTTCCCATGCTCCCAGCTTAACACTGTCAGCCTGAAATGGCTGATGGAGGCAGCTTTGTATGGCCCAGTGCAGCGGCCCAGCCCAGCCTCCTGGCAGGGATCTCCGGCCAAAGGTTCTTGCAGGGGCCATCACCCTAACAGGTGTTACCAAATCTGCCCATTACTTTGGGGTGTGCTCATTTATTAGGGATAGTTTCTAGGGTCTTCGTGATTCTGTCAATGTGCTGCTTGTGTTACTATACGGAGCTGTATTTCTCCCTTCTGCAAGCCCTCACCCCCAGTGGAGCTATCTTGCAGGACTCAGTCTCAATGGGCTGGGTTCCTCCAGTCCCCAAATCAGTCATACACACAAACACACACAAATTAACATGACATGCCTGACCCAGCCGGGCTGATCAGCATGGACAGGCTGACACCCTCATATGCCAAGAACCAGTTCATCAGAGCAACAATACACTGCAGTCAGACACAAGCACACAGGTGAACAGAATCCCTCTGAATCCAGCTGGGTGTCCAGCTGACACCCTCATGGGCCAGCATTCAGTTCATAAGGGCACGTCTGAGTCAAACTGGGTCAATCAGCCTATACAAGCTGATCCCCTTATGTGTTTCAAACTCAGCACGTCCCAATCTTTGGCCTCTTGATGAGCAGACCCCACAATAATTTGGGCTTCACAGGGATCTTTAGCATAGGTAAAAGAAGCGTTGCTGCAGAGCACGGGAAGAAAGAGAAGCAGAGAAGGAAAAATATACACAACTACTACCAGTTTGACTATAAAAGTTATTTATTGCTAAGCATATGAAATATATAACAGTACTAGTAGTAATAGACATGCAAAAGAAAAACAAACACCAACAATGACAATACTACCCTGGTTTCACTAAGTATTTGGGGAAACTTAGCTCAAGCTTAACTGATACAGTTCAGGTTCAGAAGTTTATGCCTAGAAAGAAGACAGAGAACGCTGGGATCTCACCTAGTCCACGGTACTCAGGCTGCAAAGCTGACAGGCACAGTCCGTAGCACAATCCTTGAAGAGAGAGACGATCTGTCTCAAGAACGACAGGGAACGTCCCAAGAACGACAGGGGATGGTGTCAGCACAGGGGTTTTCTTCTTCTCCTTCTTTCCTCCTGCTTATACTTCTTTTCCTTCCTTTTCCTCTTCCTCTTCTCTCT